GTGCTTTTTAGCATGGGTATGCTGTGCTGCTAGGCTCTTCAGACAGTTTGGTGTTTTATGTCTGAGCAGGCATGATGAAAGCAACTCTGAGCTAGTCTTTTTAAGGGTCTTTAAATCCAGAGGTAAATGGTGTACGTCTTGCCTTTCAACTACATGGGGCTTCATTTCAGTTCAAAACTGGAGACCGTTTCATTCTTTCTCTGTGACACTCACTGCAGTTCCCCCTCCACCCGCCCTCCCTCATATTTAATTTTATAGTTCTTTCAGACATAAACATGGAAAAAAAGCAATTTTGACTTAGTTTCTGAGTGTTGCTGCAAAGAAAAGTAACAAACATCTGTTTTTACCTTAACTGCATCCATATGTTCAACCTCCCCATCACCCTCCTTCCCAAAAAATTTACAGCCGTATTTGGTGGGTACTGCATGTTGTTGAATTAACTTTCTTCACAGTTAGATTAGAGAGTAGATTCAGAGACTGAAAATATCTGTGCTAAGCAGTGGCCAAAAGCTACATTTTAACTAAGCCAAGTTTTCAGGTTTTTCACCCTTCCTGTTTTAATTTACTTCCCTATTCCCCTTCCATCCTTCCCGCCCCCCCCAAGAAAAGAGGAGATGATCCAGGAGACTTTTTTAGGAACAGGTTATTGCATTGGATAAATGTTTACTTGTGAAATTTGCTTATGTCTTTCATGCTTCCAAATTAATTAACATTTGAAATACCATGTTTATCAGAGAAATATGTGGTTTGAGATGCATACTGTGTGGATTATTGTCAGGGCTAGTTACCTTGTTGCATTTTATTACTTCTTGTTGTAGCATCTGGAACAATTCTGGCCCTACCAAAGTTGTGTTTTTGTAGAGGATTAACAGGAAGAAGACTATTTTACGGAGATATTTGAGAAGCAGTGAAACGAAATGTTGAATGATACTATCTTTTTCCTGTGTGGTATGCAGCATGCTTTCAGAGATAAGAGTTTGTGGAACTAAAGATACCTATCCAACAAAGGTTATTCCTTTCCAGTTATACGGTGCCTTTAATAGATGTGAAGCTAGTTGTGCAAATTTCCCAGATATTTCTATGTACAATAATCTGAATGGCTGTATACTGCAGGGGGATTCAGCAACGTGAGAACACGTGCCCTTTTGCTGCCACTAGAAGAAGCTGGCCATCTCTTAGTAATACCGACTGATGCTACTAATACATTTTTCAAGAAAATTAAGTTAGAAGCTGAGTGGTAATAGAAAGTGAGTTGGTGACTTTTTAACTGATGGTCATTTTACTGTATATTCGCACGTAAGTGGTAGATTGTTTTCTTCAAAGGAGATATTTGTTACCTCTCTGAGGAAAGGATTCCCTGCTCCTAGCAGATTTTCTTTGACAGGTTGAGCAAAAGTCTGAGTGACATCTGGTGCCTAAAATACCCTGTATTTCTCTTTCTGTTGTTATGTAAATTGATAGAATGGGGATTGATTCTAGCTCTACCATCACATGTTTCTGCTGACAGAGGGAGGTCATCTTGCATCCTTCTGTATGTGATCCTTCTGGCTGAGACATCATCAGAACATGGAGTTGACATCTGGATTGACTTTGAATACAATCTGGGAAAAGGAAGGAATCACTTGGGGTTGCTTGTACATTCTCTTGGTCATAATTAAGAAAGGTTGAAGCTAAATAAAGAAATCTTTACATTTTTTTTCTTGATAATTAAAGTGAATGCAAAAGCATTTTATGCTGAAGTCTAGCCACTGTGTCTAGACATAATTGTCCAAGTGTTGTTGCCTTTACTCAACAGTTTTTCCAATGTTTTTTGGATCTCTGAAGATGTCAGTAAAGAGGACATACAGATACCAATAGCTCTGCCTCTGTGTACAGTTTGGTGTTTTATGAAACCTTGTTACCTGTGGTAGGACATGATCCAAATGTCAGTTTCCCTTGTTCTGTGAGCTAAAGGAGAAAGATTGTGTCAGGGGGCATTGTAATCCTGGAAATACAGGCTCTTGTATTTTTCGGAAGGACTGGATGGAACCTAATGAGTCTAAAAGACTTGTTTGTGTCAGAAGTGTAAATCCCAAACTTGGACTAGATCATAAACGTGGATGTAGAAACTGGCTGTTGAAGACTGAAAATGGAGAATTTGTGGTCCTGTAAAACAGACTTTGGCAAAGTCATTGTCCCACGGGTCAGCAGTCTCACCAGTTCTGACAGAACACTCTGTGAAAAGAGGCAGTTGACTGTCTGCTGCTGGGTTGAGTAAAATATTTTATACTCGGTTTTGTATCCCAGAGGGATTTTCTTCTGCACTGAAGGTGAGTGGGAGACAAATAGCTGTGCTGCTGCTGTGTGGTCTAGGAGTGTGATAATGATGAACATCACGTATGCGAGTAAGCAGTGGAATCATAACTGTCTCTTCCAGTTTTTAATGTTACTGGGAGGTGGTGAGTTCCTCTGAGATCTGGACTGTGGAAAACAGTGTTCTGACTGCTGATCTTTCATTGAATAAAGGAATTATAACATCTGATATTTGTTCTGCATGAGTTGGGGCTCTTGTTATGATGTATTTGAAGTATTTGGAACACTCTACATCAATATGTGGTATCTAGTGTTCAATTTTTCCTTTCTTAGTACTGGCACTGTGTAAGAGAGTATCGTTTGTAGAGGTAGTGTGGGGAATGAAAGGTCATGCCAGATTTCGTGGGTAAGACAGAATTCTGACTCTCTTTAAATGCTGAACATGGCCTATTTGGGAATGGAAATTTCCATATTGATCTCAAGTCAATATATAAGGAAGTTAACAAATCTGAAACGTATTATTTCCTCATTTACTCTATTCAATTTTCACCTCTAAAAGAAATGCATGGGAGTTGTGCTTCAGGAATATTTTAGTCATTTTGAATAATATATTGGATATATATTTTACAAGAAATAAATAGTAGATCCTATAGGCTGTAGATTTACCCTGAAGATTCTAACAAGCACAGAATAACTGACATCCGGGACTGTCTGCATTCTGCTCCTCCTGTGTTCTTCTCACTTAATGCAACACAGAATTCCCATTTGCTAGTAAAAATACTTCACTCAATCTGTAAGTAAATGTAGGCAAATCTTTTTGATCTGGTTGTTTAGAAACTAACAGCTTTTTATGGAGTGAGTAAAGCTGCTGACCGATATGCTATTGCTTTGTTAATGCCTCATGCTTTAAGGGACCTCAGATTCTATGCCCTCGTGATTCCCTTGATATCTCGAGTCACAAAACCCCAGATTTTAATTTTAATGTAGCATGTCTCATCACTAGGAAGGGGGCTCTGATGCTCTTACTGAGCTTCAGTGTTTCATGAATCTGATATTGCTGTTCCTCAAAAAGTACTCATTGAATCACAGCATTTTTATGTCAGATTTCAGCCAGCTTTTTGATAAACATACTTATTCACCAGTTCTTTGAAGATTAAGGTGCTTCCCAGAGTGTTAGAATCTGTCCAGAGATTAATTCCAACTACTGTTCTGGTGAGTTCCTATGTTTCAAAAGCACTGCCAATTGTAATAAGATCAAGTGTTTTGGATGTCAAGTTTCCTATCAGAGGATGATTATTTCTGATGATTTTAAGGTCTTGGGTGCATTCTACTTTCGGTTTTGTTGTTTCTGTAACAGGAGAACATTTTGAGTCCTAGTAATAGTTTTCGTTGTTATCTAAAAAATAGTTGTTTGTAAGAATAGGATCAGCAAAAGTATTATTCTGTTGTCTCAAAAATCTTAATGGTTGTCTAAAATAGAATAGGAAATATAAGCGTTAAGGAGCCTCAAGGTATGTTGAACCTCGAAAACACATCTCTGAGGGAAAAGTAGGGTGTTCAAATAGCTAAAAGGCGGCTAGTGGTTTTGTGTTTTAGCATCCAAGCATCCCATTTAAAATGCTTCTTTGAAGGGCCTGATTTTTCAGGACTTCCTTTGAAAGTAGGACTTGCTAATGCCTCACCTTAGGTACTCAGCATCATTAGACACTTTGGAGAATGTAGGGCTCAATGCACTGTGCAACAGAGAAACTAAAATATCGGCCCAAATGCAGTCTGTTAGTCCACAGCAAATGCAAGGTAATTTTAATTGGTTTAGCTCACAATGAAAGAGATTTGATCTAAGCAGAATGATTTAAGTTTCTCTGTATTATTAACGTGGTGCTGTGGGTAGTGAAGGGGCTTGGCTGACAAGAAATGACTTGTTGAATTTTGGCTGCTTGATTTTATCTGTGAGCCAGTGGGCCAATAGGTAGAAAGATGCAAAACTGGTCAGACATGCCAAGACAAGAGGGACAAGTTCACACGTTTCAGAGTAATTACTTTTAAGAAATCACTAAGCGTGACATGGTGTATTCATGTATGTCCTGTGGAGAAGGTGATAAAACAAGTTGCTGAAGGTACAGATAAACTTAAAAAAACCCAAACCTGTTGCACTGTTGCACATTCTCCTTAGAACATTAGCTGCATTAAATATTAGTCTTGCTGACCGTAGTTTAATGCGTCCTAAAGTTGTTTGCTCTTTTTGAATAAAAATGAAATAAGAAAACAACTCGATGTAGCTTTCATTGTAATGCTTTCTGTGAAACTAAGCAATGGAATTTAAGTAGAACACTTAATACCTATAGAAACTTTTTGAAAATTGACTTTTGTCTCTGAGTTAAGATACAAACAGGGTAAGCCAGTGTTAGAAAGGAAAAATGGAGCCAATAAAGAGGGTTTCTGATTATAATAGCTGGTTTCTGTTTAATATCGTTGAGCAGGATGAGGTTTTGCAGAGTTTCTCATGGAAATAGCATCCACAGTACTAAAATGATTACCTCATTCTTAGTACCAGTGCCAAGCACTTAGCCCCACAGTGAACACACGGGGTTGATTTTCAACATGAAACAAACCAGAAGTGTGGAATGACATTTTCAGGTGACAGTTATGGTTCTATTGCCTGTAATTAGCACCTCCTTAACATGCAAACCTGCCTGTGCCTTTTCCAGGCTGTTGAAGCTCAAATACGAAGTTTTGGACAGACCCCTTCCCAACTGCTCATAGAACCACATCCTCCAAGAAGTTCTGCCATGCAGGTGGTAAGTACCACATTAAATCTTTGTGACCTGCCATTTTGTTCACTTCCTTTGCTATCTTAAAGTTACAGAACTGCCCACTTTGCTTTGCTTTTATGTGGTCGAGGAATTGGGTTATTAAAAACAGCAGATGAGTTACGATTTTGTAGGACTGGGAGAGTATGCAGTGCTTAACTAATGCTTTATTTATTGCTGAAAGAATTGTATTGATTTCTAGTACAGAACTTTTTTGTCAGGGTAATCTAAGAACACTTCATCAGCTGATTTTGTTAATACCATACCTGTACAGGTGAGAGCCAGTCATCATGGAGACAGTTTAGTTAATCTTTGGCAGATTCCCCAAGAAGCATGGATTTAGGAGGTGGAACTTCCTTGTCTTTTCCCCCAGGCATAGGTTTTCCTCTAAAACCAGGATTACTAGGAATTCATGAGCTGAAACTTACATAGCAAAGAATGTGACTAAATGTGTTTTGCAGTAAAGCTAGGGTGATAAAATCCAGGCAGTGAGCATTAACATGCTTTCCCTTTTACCTCTACTTCTGTCTAATATAATTTTATTATCCAAACTATTATTTTATTACTGATTACTTTCCATATCATGTTGTCTGCAGTCCTTGGGTCTAAAATATCATTTGTGTTGTCACAGATCCAGAACTAAGTATGTTAAGTGATACTCTGACGAGTGGAGCAAATAGTCTGCTAATTCACAACTTTTTCGAAAGGATGCATTCTCTTATTGTTAAGATGGACATTTTACACCAAAATATTAAAAAAGACATTTTCTTTTTGTATCTTCTGTAAGACCTGTGTCCTGCTCAAGCAGAGTAAGGTTATTAGATTAAAAACATATCTGAAGTGTAAGAAGTTTTAGAAAAATTACACAAAAATCTGAAATGTTTCTGAAGTAGCTTACAAACCTTGTGATTTAGGAGTCTAAGAAACGTAAACTTCCTTGTCCAGTTGAGCTACTAGCCTTTCTCACATGACATGTGTTGTACAGGAGGCTTGCTCAGCTGACTGTTTCCCCATCCCCACCACCCTTTCTGCAGCCGGTACATACTACACTTTGACAGCTGTGCAGTAGACATGCTCCTGCCCTGGATCCCATATTCTGAATAGACAGAGCTGATTGTGCTGATTTGTGATCTGCTGGCCCATTGCACCTCCCACGTAGCGTCCTAGGGCTGCAGATTGCTGCAGCGGCCTGTGCGTGCAACCCATGGGGCTCTCTCTTTCGGAAGAGTCCTGTTAACAGGGATGCTGGGGAGCCCGAGTGCCCTCGTCACACAGTTATGCACCATATGTGTGTCCGTCTGTCACGGTGCCATGCACTAGGCACTTGCCCTAATTTGGAGGGATTTGTTTCAGTCAGAGGAGGAACTTGAGAAGTTGATTGTTGATGTGTTTGTCAGACCCACTGTTTTATAAATAAATGTGATGCCAGGAAGCAGTTTGTGTGGTCTTATCATAATATTTTTCATGACGCTGAATTTAGTGTGTAACGGAAGAAGTTAAATTCTGTGCAGTTAACTGTTTCTAACTCCTGTGGGTTTTTTTGAGCTGAGGTACACACAGAAAAAAACCCTTAGTTCTCCACTTGCTTTCATGAGTTTTGTAGTTTCATAATAGCGTAATTTTATAATAGCGCTATATTACGTGGTTTTAAAAGTGGTATTCCTGGAGCTGAAATACAGTAAGGATGTTTGTTCTGTTACAATTTTGAATCATGTCTAGTTGTATTATTTACTGAGTGTTCTGTTTTTGTGTGTGTGTGCGTGCGCGTATGCATGAATACAGCTGAAATGAAAGCTACCACGTGCTGTGTTAAGTGCACAAGCCCATAATATACACCAGGTGTAGTAATTAGCAGTCACACGAAGGCTGCCTATTTGTCTGGTTTTGCTGCTGTTGCTGTATCCCCTTGTGTTTTCAACCATCAGATAGCTGGATTTAATTGAGGCCACATCAGATGAGGCATTACTGACACCTTTAATTGAATGAGCATCCAGGGAGGATTAACTCATAATATTGATTGGCTTTTAGCCACTTGCTCAGAAGGGTGTCTGGGTAGCTTATTAGTTGCTTTTATTTACACCTTTATGCAAAGACTGTAAATAGGATTTCATAGAGCAATATGTTTTTCTAAGTACTCTTAATAACTTTTTTAAAAGGAGTGATAATAAAAATGCAAATGTATTTAATTTTTTTATTAGTTCTGTATAAATATACATTAAATGTATGTATTTACATGCACATATATGTAATGAAATATTGCAGGTGGAAAATAGCCAAGAACACTTCATTAGTGTTCTAAATCAGTTATTAGAAAATTACAAATACTAGAGTAATGTGGCTACTGACGACTAGGATGGTTGTATTTCCACATCTCAATGGAGTTCTCTTGTTCAGGTACTCCACACAATCACAAACCCATTAAGTTTTGCTCTTCCTCCTTATGCTTGATACTCGGACCTCTAAGGCCCAAATGTTTTGCCATTTGCAGTATTGTTAGAGAGCTTAATTAAAAAGTTCTTAAACTTTTCAACTTACTAAATTTAAAAACTAAAACCTAAAAATATTACATTGAAAATGAGAGTCTGGATTCATTCCTTCCCTTTAGTATTTCTAGAAACAACGCAGGCTAGTGTCTGTAATCACATCTACTTTATATTCTTTACAACTGCATTTAATTAAGTTTGTCCTTTGAAACACATTTGCAGTGAAGTCTTCTACTTTGCATTCATAAATCTTATTTTTGTACACCAGAAATATATACAGAACATATATCTAGTGTATGTGTGTATCTGTTTATTTTAATGTGCTTTCATGTTCTCATCTGGCTTGTAAAGAATTGCAGTCTGCCAATTTAATGCAACTTGAGACAATCTCTGGGAGCAGGAATTTCTTTTGCTCACTTTTTTTTTCCCCTGTTCCCTCCTAGTCCAGCATTGCTTTCCTGGACATACTATCTCCGCAGATATGAAGGAGCATTCTTTTGGCAGGCATAGGTGTTCGGAAACTTCTAGCTTAATCTGCTGTGATCTGTAGCAAAGTTTGTATATAGACACCCTATGTTGAATTAGGCCCTCAAATTAATAGTGTACATGAAGGTTTTCCTCCCTAAAATGTTGTTTCCACAAGCCTGTACACTATTACTGCATTTGCTTTTCACTGGAGCTGCTATTGGATCCTGTGTGTTTTAATCCACTCTTCCTTCTCTTGTCCTGTCTTCTTTTCTCCTCCCCATGTTTTCTTTCCCTGTGTATTTGGGTTCTTGTTGTGTGCACTCAACAGTATCTCCTCCTGCAGAGTCCGTTGATGTTCACAGACCAAGCTCAACAGGACGTTATCATGGTTCTAAAGTTCCCATCCAACTCCCCTGTCACTCACGTAGCCGCCAACACCCAGCCTGGTCTGGCCACTCCTGCTGTGATCACAGTTACTGCAAATAGGCTATTTGCTGTGAACAAGTGGCATAATCTTCCCGGTAAGTAGCCTGAGAAACCACTGCCATCAAGCAGTACTTAAGTTGTCTGTTTCAAAATTTGCTGCAGAACTGTTTTAAATTGGAAGTGTGAAGAGCAAGGCCAGTTCATTGACACAAGATGCTCTTCACAGGTGGATTTAGTTTCTCCATGAAAAGGTAGTTGGAACTATTGTGTAGAAAGACATGTAGCACACAAGAGGTTTGTAACAACACTGTATTACTTCCCTGATTACATCAGGCATTCTGCAGGATGATAAAAACAGTATGTCACTATTTGGTCATAATGAAGTCACACTCTTCTTGAATTTGTTTTTCAGTCAGATGGAAGTCGGAACCATGTCATGTCAAAGAGTTTTGTAAAGCATGTAGAACTTGCCAGAAATCTTTCCTGCTGTCTTTTTCTAGTTGAATATGACTACCATATTTTGATGTTAAATCCACTCAGTGAGAATTAGAAGACAAAATATATGGGAAGTCTGTACCTGCTGTAACTCACACATCCCTGGTGCTTATGTATGTGTCAGTATGAAAGGAAAACAACATACACATTTGCATAGCAACCAGTCAAATTAATTTTCCTTCAAAAAAGAGACTTGAGAACATAGTCATTCTGTTTTCAATTCTAATGTTCTGTGCTCTTAAAGGCACTCAACCTCCCTTCCCTGACTATGACAGTCTCAGGCCCAAATCATGAAAGGTAGTTTATTTCAATGCTGTGCAGTAAATCTGGTCAAAAGTTTTTCAAGAAAGGGGGGAAAAAAAAGAAAAGAGCTTCCACACAAATAACTTAAATAGAAGATATTTGTGCCAGAGTAATACATCACTGAAATTCCTGCTTAAGAAATCTGGACCCATGGTCCTTGGTTACATTTAGAAAAAAGCCAGATGACTCCCACGCTTTTTCCTAATTCTTACAAATTACCCCTCAACACTGTACGAGTAGAAAACATCTATGTATTATTTCACTCACACAAGAAATGCTTAAAGAAAGATGGGAAGGAAGGGGGGAAGGGAAGCTTGTCTAGATAACAAGTTGTGAGCAAGAACTATTTACAGGGCTTTTGACATTTGTTTGAAAGGAGGATGGCAATATCCTCTCATACCTTGGATATGTGACCTTGGGCATATAATATTCAAGGCTTTTTGGACATGTAAGAGTCATGGGAAGAGAAGATTCTAAAGTGGTAGGAGGCGGTTTTGATTTCCTTGTTAAGTCTGCTGGTTGATGATCTGAAAGCAAGCCACCAGATGCTGAGTGTAGTAATCAACTGGTTTGAGTTGAACAAAACCTTCAGATTTTGGTTTTTCCCTCACCTCTGAAAGGGAGAGCAGTGAGCTCTGCTTTCAAGTCATTATTTTTTCATTTAGAGGCATTTTACACTCTTTACAAAGAGCTGAAGAAAACCTACAATTCCAGACAAAGCCAACGAAAGACAGTTCAAACGAAAGCCAACCCAACAAACACCCACCATACCAAGAGCACTCTGATCAGCTGCAGGCTATTAATGGGGTACTGTGCTTAAGATATCTGGGCGTGGACTGCTGAGACTCTCCTTCACTATTGTTGCCTTTAAATTTTACACCAAAATGGGATCTACTAGGATTAGAGGGCAGATATCATTACTACTTCGTATCTCCTGCTGTGGGCTTAGCATTGTCTTTACTAATGAGGCATCGTGATAAAAAAGTCAAGTTGCCAAGTGACCAGTTGTCACTGATGTGTCATTAAAAAAATGCTGTTGTATATGAGTTTGGTGGCTTTGCTGGCACGTAATGGTACTGGTACCCAACAGGGTGCCTCTGTTTTGTCACATGGATTTCATGTTTTGTTCTGTGTTAGCGTTTCATTGCAGCAGAACCTTGACTTCCCAATTACTTATGAAACCCTTCTATTGATACTGATGTTTATATTAAGCAGTGGATGGTAGATATAAAAATGATAGGTGTATGTATTCAGCCATTATTTTTTGTTCCTCTTCCAGTAATGTCTTGTGGGCTGTTTCGGGGGGGTGGGGTGGAATTTTGCTTTCTTGCTTGTTTGGTTTTAATGAGGCTGTGCAAAAAGAGGGCTTTTTTTTTTTTTTAACACTGAAGGAAAATTCAGGAGGTAAACATTTCATGAGTATGCCAAGTGCCCAGATGAAATGTAGGTCTGCAGAATTATATATTAACTTCTATGCAAACTTGCAAAGAAATGGTTTTTGGTGATGGATGAATCCTTAAATACTGGATGACTATGAGATTTCCCTGTCTGCATCATAAACTGACTTTTTCTAAAGATGTCCTTTGTGCTTCACTTGCTTAAAGCAGTGCTTTTAAAAGAAAAGAGGAAAATAGTATTTGCTACAGTCAGCAGATGGTTGTCACATTTTGTTTTCAGTGCTCTTTACCACTTAATTTTGTTTTGTTGCGACAGGAGAGGTTGCCAGTAAAGCATCTGCTGGAGCTTATGGCTCAGGACTGGAGCTGCTGCTGATGGCATACATTCGGGATAGCACTAATCTAAAATAAATGTTTAATAAGCAGCCTGCAGAAGCACCTGGATTTTTTTTTTTTAATTCAACTGATGCAGAAGAATCTTGAATAGTTAAAAAAAAAGGACGTAGCTTTGATTTATAAAATGTATGTAGCTTCATGTATTAAAACATGCAGAGTTTTAAAATCTTCTTTCCCGAATTCCAGCTCATCAAGGTGCTGTACAAGAGCAGTCTTACCAGCTGCCAGTGGAAATCGATCCTCTCATAGGTCTGTCACTTCCTTCTCTCTTTGCGATTCATTAAGCTCTGTATGGTGGCCCTGAAGTGTAGATTACGGTTGTTTTTCACTTGCTGGTTGCTGGGAATGGAATTTTCCTGATAAACCATTTGCATGCAAATTGGAATGCAATGAGCTGTGGCTATGCTGGTATTTCATCAACTCCCCCTCGTTGGTTTGCCTAATTTGAACAGGCCTAGGACGCGTGTCAGTGAAAATTAATATGGATGCTGTAATAATGTGTGATTGAGAATGTGCATGAAGTACTGTCAGGATAATATTGGATCTTTTCATCACTCAGACTTGTTGATGAGCAGGAGCGAGGCACGTTATGATGAATTGGTGCACTGGTAATGTGATGGAGCTCCTTTGCTGAGGAAATTTTCATAATAACAGTGGGGTTCTTAACTGCACCGTGTTGTGAAAAATAAAACCATGGTGCCAGGGTTTCATCATTAAAGGAGATCAATCCTTTCTTCATAGACCTGCTGTTCAGGCTGAGGGGATTAATGTGTAATTGCAAAGCAGTTTCAAAGTTGAAATATATTGTCCACAACATTTTAGTATTGAGATATTAGTATTCATTTTTCAAGGGTATTGCATCTTTTGATCAGCATCACTAGTTAAATTTGTTCATGTTTTTCTTTTATTAAAAAGGGGTGGAGGAATGTCTCTCTCATTTAATGACTCAGTGTAATAGATTCAATTCTTGACTTTATTATGGAGGTTTATTAGTTTATATAGAGCTGATTTTTCTATTAGTATGGTTAGAGTTTTGTCAGTCCTTTCATTACAGACCCAACTTTGGGGAGTGCATACTTGGACTATAATTCCGAAGCCTGTAGCATGGCAAATGGAACCTTAAACGTGATCAAAAAAAGGAAAACTCAAACAACCTAACACCAAAATGCAAACTAGTTGTGGGACAGTTCACAGGAGCAAAGAAGACAGGATTCCCCACCACCACCAATTCTATTAGACTTCAAACTTAGCTCTGTTTTTTAAACTGTCCTTGTCCAGATGGTAGGTTAAGTGAAAAAGAAGTGAAGTGGCCAATTATAGAAGCACGGAAAAGTCAGAGCAGAAATGAACTTGCCTGGCGAGGTTAGAATGACACGTCTGTCGGCCAGTGAGAATTCATTTCAAAACTAATACGCGTCTCAGCGTAGGAACTCCGTTGGATCGGTCTGTAGATACAGACTGTTGCTGTGTAGTCATTTTGCTGGGTAAGCTCTATGATAATTAAATCAGAGCAGTGTGAGCATATTAAGCCATTTTAAAGAGCTACTGAAATTTAAATGTTTTTCAAAGTATTTAAAATCAGTTCTCATCTAAATAATGAAAATAATGAGGAGGACATGTGCTGTAACTCTTCTTCCTGACATAGGTTGTATCCAAAAAAATGTTTGGAGCAGGAAATACATACTCTGCTTTAAAACCTACTACCAATTAGATTTTAAAAATATAAGCAAACATCACAGGGAAAAAAAAAAAAAAAAACAAAAAACAAACAAACCCACGAAAAGTCACATTGGGCCTCTCTGGTGATTTTTCTACATACTGTGAAGAACATGAGGAAGGAAATAAAATTTTTCTTTTCATCTGCATTTTTCATAATTTTAAAACTGCAATTCCATTTTCAGGCCTACCTTTAATTTACAAAATACTTTTGTTTGGTATAAACATCTTTAAAATCAATGTTCACAATTCTGACAAACAGTTTAATATTCTCTTCCTACAGTAGATCTCAAATCAGTCTTGTGATTGCATTGGACATAGTTTAAAAGGTTTAAGGCTTTCTTTGTCACTGTTAAGTAGCGTCATTGGGTACAAGCAAGTAATTATGTAGATAATATTAAAGGTTTTTAATTGTGGCTAGACACATTTACCTGGAAATGGCACCTAAGAGGACCACAAAATTACACTTTTTATGGTTATAGCAGGGATCTTGTTGCTGTCTTAGTCATAAGGAGGGATTCCTG